ATTTCGGTCCTCCGGTTCTCCTCCTCGCACCTACCAAACTTGTTGATCCGGGACTAGTACCTGCAAAACCAGATGAGCTAAACCGGTGCGACACTAGTCACACGGGCTCCGATGCTTAAGTTAGCAGGAGGATAATGTGAAATGTAGCTAGTTTTAGATGCCCTTACCTCTAAGGCTGGATCGCTACTTATAGTCGCCAGGTTGTTCCAGAACATTCCATAGGTAGCTAACCCTAATTTCTTTGGCGGGCCTGGGCGAAACCGTGGATCGAAGACGAAGGGCCGCTGGAGGGCCGTGGGCCGTGCCACGGGTCGGGGCCGAGCCCCGGGTCGGGGCCGAGCCCATCGCAACCCAGTGGCTTCCTTCCGATCTTCACCTGTACCTCGACTTTCGGTTTCCATTGCATAACACTCTCTGAATTGACTGAACTTGCAACAGGGATTTATCCTCCAGTGGACTCACAGGGGAAATAGTTGAAGATTTAGCAAAGCTCGAATTGCTAGAGACTTTGTAAGCATCTGATTATCATTTATCAGTTTCTCATAACCAATAAAGTCATAAGACAATTGATCAAAACATTCACATGATTTTCTCTCTCTATCGGTTTAAGGGATTTATCAAATAATAGCTTAAGTGGAACAGTGCCTGAATTTCTCACTCAATTGCCATCATTGAGAGTCTTGTAAGTGACTTGCATATAGTTTGAAATCATTTTTAAACCTCATTTTTTATAGTTGTTCTAAGTTTGGATCTTTTTATTGCAGAAATTTAGAGAGAAACAACCTTTCAGGACTTATTCCTTCCCAACTTATTGAGATGTTCATTGATGGCTCTTTATCATTAAGGTATGATATCTATTATAATCCACAAATTAAAATAATAATAATAATAATAATAATAAAGAAACATAAAGTACCAATGTAGGGTCATTTAGGTTCCTTTTTTCTTTACTGGACATGTGTTTGGTAATTTCTCTAATTATAATGTAAATCCAACTGAAAACTCAATGTTTAAGGTTTCATATGAGGCTAATATTCCCATTCTTGTTTTTCAAATTTTCTTTTGATAGCTATGGTGAAAATCCAAACCTGTTCATCTCAGCTACAACTGAAAAGAAGAAAAAAAGCAACATAGTTATTCCTGTAGCAGCATCAGTTGGTGGATTTCTTCTGCTGTCACTCTTAATTTCAGGTGCTATCTTCTGGATCAAGACTAAACAGAGAAAACAAGGTAAAACCAAAATGCATAATCATTTTAGTTCAAAATGAATCCAAATCAGGATAAACTGAATCTTTGATTTTCTTAGGAGTTCTGTTTGGAGAAGCAAAACAATGGGGCTCAACCAGAAGATCTTATTCATATTCCGATATCTTGAGAATTACAAACAATTTCGAGCGGCTGCTTGGAGTCGGTGGCTTCGGAAAAGTTTACTATGGCCAGATCGATGGCACCGAAGTAGCCGTTAAGATGCTTTCGCCTCAATCAGCTCAAGGTTATGATCAGTTTCAGGCAGAGGTATGGAACTTCTAAAAGAGCCATTATCAAACATGGAGGAAGTTCATTTCGAGATATTTGAATTTACTTCCTGTAAAACTCATATTTTCAGGTTGACCTTCTCATAAGGGTTCATCACAGAAATTTGACTGCCCTGGTTGGATATTGTGATGAATCAACAAATAAAGGACTCATCTACGAATACATGGGAAGAGGGAACTTGGGATCTCTCATTTCAAGTATGGTATCATTCTAATAAAGTTGTTAGAATTTGATATTTGAAATGAAAATAACGAGCATCTCGATTGATAATGATTTCGTTTTTGTTCTGTCTTCGACTTTTGGAAAATTCTTCTTAAACCTTTAGTTTTGATATGGATGTAGGTGACAGATCAAAGGTTTTGAAATGGGAAGATAGACTCCATATAGCCTTGGATTCAGCACATGGTTTGTAGTACTATCTATTCTTTTAGAAATTTTACACAATCATATCACTAGGCATGACAACAGGTCGGGACAGGATCAGGATGCACTCTATGACATAATGTCATCGCACTCTATTTTTAATTCCTTTATTTCAATTTGACTGAAGTTAGACATCTTAAACATGTAGGATTTGAGTACCTTCACCACGGTATCAAACCAGCAATTATACATAGAGATGTAAAATCTTCAAACATCTTATTGGACAACGATTTTCGAGCAAAAGTGTCCGATTTTGGGCTGTCAAGAACTTTTCCTGCTGAAAATGGCGCCACTCATGTGACAGCCACCAATGTAGTTGGCACCCATGGTTACATTGACCCAGAGTAAGTATATTGTTAAATTATAAATTTTATCGTCGTATCTATTTAATCTCCGAACTTTAGAAAATTTTGATTATATCTCAATGCTTTTGATTTTGATCTAACAAGTTTTTGTCGAATGTTGATGTGAACTAACAAGTCATGATTTGACATTTTGTGATCTAAGAGTAAACTTGTTAGATAAAATAACGTTGAGCGGGCTAAACAATTTGGTTTAAAACGTATTCCACCCTTTTGCCCAATCAAATTTTTTGGTTCGTTTAGCTTTATTTTATCCAACATTCAGCTAGCTTACTTTTTGTGCCAAATCATCACTCGGTTCGATCAACATATCTCACCAATATTAAAATAATAGTGTTAGTGAGGACTCACTCAATTGAGACCTCTACATTGCACTACTTTGAGAATGAAACTCATTTTCTTGCTGGCAGATACTACACCACATACAGATTAAACGGGAAGAGTGACGTTTATGGATTTGGAGTGATTCTTTTGGAGATCATAACAGGAAAACCAGCTTTAACAAGGATTGGAGACCAGGTAACTCACGTCTATCAATGGGTTGAGCCGTTGCTTTCGCAGGGTGATATCGGATCAATAATCGACCCGAAAATGAAAGAAGATTTGAACGTAAACTCTGTTTGGAAAGCAGTTGATGTAGCAATCTCTTGTATGTCTTCAAAATCAATAGATAGGCCAAACATGAGCCAAGTTGTGGTGGACTTGAAGGAATGCTTGGCCATGGAATTAGCTGGTGATAAGAATCGCCAACCTGAAACAGCTGCTGCAGAATCCACGGCTCTAACTGGCCCCTTCGCGAGGTAGATGATTTGATATATTTGTGTTGGAAAAATATTGGGGTAATTAAATACATGTGATTTATTTGACTATTTTTTATTAAAAACTTCTCTAAGGTAAATATTTGCATATAATGTTATGGAAACAATGTAGTTGTGGGATTTTGTTGTTCTCTGCATTTTCATAGATGACTTTTTTTTTGCGATGGATCCTTTTAATACCTGAGATCTTTGAAAAAATCATTAGCAAGCACAAATTTTGGAGAGAAAACAAGTTATTTTTACACATATATGATTATGAGGTTAAATTTTTTGATTTTGTTGTATTGAACTCTAATTTTGAATCAAGTTAAAAAAAATTATTGATGAACCAATCAATAAATTACCAAAAAAAAAGGCACAAAATATTGAACATCATACCACATAATCATAAAGGCCCGCAATGAATACTCATAAAAAATAATTCCTTTTAATTAAAGAAATGTCCTAACCAACTCTAATATTTTTTTAGTACAATAGGTGGGAGGGAGAATTGATAATTACTACTAAGTTATGCTTGCTTTAGATAGAGAATATTAATTTCAATTACTTAAGTTTAGATTTAATTAAACTTCATATATATATATATATATATATAACTAAGTCTTAATTGCAAAATAAATTTAGCATTTTTTTCCAAGGATCCAAACTTCTGCCTTTATGCGGTTCAAGTTTATAACTTTTTAATAAGTTAATTACTCTAGGTATAAATTATAGTTATTATAATTTATATTAATTTTATCAATATATATTAAATGTAAGTGTAAATTTGTAATTTCTCCTTCACTCCATGTTTGTTTCAGGAGTCGGACACTGATTGCCTCTTCCGCTTTCGGTATTAGATGATTTCGTTGAATTGCTTTCAATTTCAAATTTCAAATACGCGTTGCTTTCGGAAAACGACGTCGCTTCATTTTTGTTTTCAAAGCGCGTTGATTCCGTTCCGAGGCAACAACGACGTCGTCCTGCTGGAGTGGTCCTGGGGTCTTTTAGCGGGATCTTTTATAATATTTTTTATACATATTTTTCTTACCACGAATTTCCAAACTGTTTTCTAAAATTGTTTTGATTTAGAATAAAATCAATGCTGAGTTAAGCTATACGGAGTCGATCGCCTCTATTTTTTTATATAATACATATACTTATCTATTTATTTTAGTCTATTTCTTATAATATTGAAAAAAAATACAAATTAATAACATATATAATAATCTTGGAAATAAAAAATTCATAATCAATAAGTTGATAAATTTCTATCATTTTAATTGGCTGCCATTTAAAACTTGTTAATTTTTTTCTTCCTTTAAATTTTCTTTAAAAAATCTCAAACCATTAATATAATATCCTTAAAATCCTATTAAGTTTAGGTTGGGAGACATTCTATATTCCTTATCTTTTTATTTATTTATTTTTTTCCATAATTAAAATCTTTTGACTTCTCTTAAAAAAAACTCCATAAATATTTATATTAGGTAGGTTAAACTAATTAGCTCTCTAAGTCTCAACTTTTTATCTTTGATGTTCTGCGTGTCTCAAGTGTGATTATCAATTGTTATAATAGAAATTTAATCTTGCTCAAATTAATCTAATGACTTTAAAGTTCTATGTTTTTTCATTCAAATTCTTTTATTTTAAAAACAAATTTTATATTATTGGTTGTTCAATATCTTAATATATTTGTTTAGATTTGCTTACTTAGAATATTAGTATGTCTACAAAAAAATATGAATATGGATATCAAAGTTTGAGACGAAAAGAAGAAATGGAAAAATTGATTGTAATATATATATAATTTTTACTTTGAATATCATGTATGATGTATTCTAATTATAATATATATAATACAGAAAGATGAGAAAATATTGATTCTATATTAATTGATTTTATTGGTAGAAAAATTTCTCATTAGAGATGGTTATTTAATTTTTCCAAATTGATAAAAATTTTGGACATTTTTATAATATTCATGGTATTAAAAAATTATCTAACTACAAAAAAAAGATACAAATTTGCTATTTTACTCAAAGAATTTTGATAAATTTTATTGTTTTTGTGGTAAGTTATTTGGTACTAAGTTGAATTAGAAAATGAAAGAGTTAAAAGATGTTAGTAGTCGACTGAGAAGCCACGAATCCAGTAATGATCACATATTTAACATGAACGTTTGGGTTGATTTACAAATTAAGAAAGCTATTCAATAATTAATTACTAATAAAAAAATATCATTGGAATAAAGTATTAACAAGAATTATGACTGTGGTTAAAAATCTAGATTATATATTAAGGTCTCCTATTAAAGTTTTGCCTAAGACCCCATATCATCTCGGGCCGTCCTGCATAAAATATCGGGTTAACGTATATTTAAAGTAATGACAAAATAAATTTAATTTAAATAAAAAGTTACAAAACTAAGTTAGGCATCCAAACTATTGAGAAAAATAGGTTAGGTGTTAGTCAAAAATTGCATACAATAAATAAGATTTATGTATCAATATGTCACAAATGTGATTGATGTTGGGAGATGAGTCGACAGGGCAAATCGCGTACACTGTATGTAATTTCCGTTTAAAATATTTATATATTTATCTAGTAATTTGTTTATTTATTTTACATATAAAATATTATTTATTTTATTAATATTTTAGCTATTTCATATATATCTAAAATTATAGATCACATGCAACATATTTTTTCAATAAATCAAGTACAAATATATCAGTACAATAATTTACAAAAAAAATCACAATGACAACATACAAATTGAAAATAAAAATACTTAAAACTTCTAGCAACAATTAGGTATTTTTACTTCAAAACAATAGGGTGACAGGTGTATAGAGAAGAAAAAATTAATTTAAATAATACTAAGATATTTTTATAATAAAAAAATTCAAAATATTGGAGAATAAAAGTATTTTAAAGAAAAGTTGAAATTGAGATATTTTTATAATAAATAAAAAAAAAGATTGCTACGAATTCATAAAGAAATTGAAATAAAAAAAATTAAGAATGTTGCTACACAAAATAAAACTCAGTAAGGATAGTTAATGACTAACCAGCTAACTAGTACTGAACATTTGAGTTTTATGAATTAAGTTAAAAGAAAAAAAATATTGAATAGAAATCGCATCCAATGCATGTCATTCGTCTAGAATCGCAGATATTACACGCGACTTACTTATTTGATCACTACCCTACTTTTGAAAATACTTTCAAACCTATATTATTTGTGTCATTTTCTCTTTTAAAAAAACATTATTAGAAAAAAAAACATAAAATGTCAACTAAAATGTGAAATTGTCTCTAAAAAACATGGTGTCAATATGTTGATTTTAACAAGGTCTGCGAAGTTCGGTTTAGGCCATAATTGACTCAAAGGACGAGCTGATGTGCTGGCAAGTACTCAATAGAGAATATAGTTTCGTGTAGTTGAAAAATGAGATGGAAATCCCTATTTGTAGGTAGGGCTTCTGACAAGCTTCCAACGGCTCTCTGACAGTCCGAGAATCGCAACGTGTTGTCGTGAGTGGTGCTAGAGTTCAGTTCCTGAAGGAGTGTCCATTGATCGACACAACTACTAGCTCAGGCGTCTGATATGGAAATTATGAGCTCAACTCAACTTAGATCCCAAGCGACCGATGTAGGAGATATAGGTCAGCTCGTCTTCTAAATGATTCCCGACCAGCTAATTCCTTAGATTGGTTTGACTTCTTTGGCGAGATTCGAAATACAGTTACTTCAACGCATAGATTTTTTCGTTGATTCATTGTTCTCGTCTTATTAGATATTGACATGTGACTGATGAGAAATGACCTCCAACGCAACATTTATATAGAAATCTAATTTTCACCCGACGATTTAATAAATAAAAGAATAATACGCAAGTGGCCCACCCAGTTATTATAAATGTTGATAAGATTAATCGAAATTACAAAAGGAATTATAAATGTATTTCTTCTACATAATCACTACGTGTAATAAAAATTAGGTTAAAAAACACATTTCAACGAATAGCTGTCTCCCAATCCCTCGTGATTCTCATCTCCAAGTCTGCACCCTTACGATTAGACGACCAGCTTCACCGTCCGGTTGCCGGAGATCTGGAGATGAGTGTCTGGCAAGACGTGCGACCAAACCGAGGTCGTCCTCAGCTGAAGCCGAAAGACAAACGGAACAAATTCCCTCGTCTCGGAACAAATTTGACTTTCATGTCATCCGTCTAAATTAATTTCTCAAGCCAAAATTAATTCATCGAGCAAGCAACCCAGATAATAATTCTAATACCCTAACTTCTAAACAAGTCTGTTGCAGTACGAAGCTTAAAGGATTCTCAACTAAAATTGGGGAAAAACAAACAACAGACAAAAAAATCTATACGAGTTTCAGAGAAAACCTGTAAAATTGAGAAATTTGAGGACGAGATATACAAGGGGAGCGAAAATCACCGAAAATCTCGCAGATGAAGAACAACCCAAGAACCAACAAAAAAAAATTAGAGAGAGAGAGAGAGAGACTGATAAGGGTGACGATGATGCTAGTGGTCGATAGTAAGGGTGAGGACTGGGAGATCGATGAGAGTCGGAGACTAGAGGCATGTTCGTTTCTCTTTTTTTTTCTTGTTTAATTCTGTCCGGTTGGCATCCACGGGGCAATGACTAAATTATTATTAAACCATTACTTTAATGTAAGTTTAGGAACCAAACATGTTTTTTAACCTAAAAATTATTACTATTTAAATATCGATTTACTTTTTTTCTTAATCTTAAGAGAAGAAAAAATAAAAAGAAAAATTTTCTCGAGCTCATTACTTTAAGATACCAAAAATACTACACAACTGCTATATTAAACAAATTACTCATTCCGTCAAAAAATAACAAATTATTAAAAAATATTGTGAATGAATTGTCTTGGAGACGATTTCAAAACTATAGTGCTGCCTCAAAAAAAAAAAAAAAAAAAAACTATAGTATTCAAAAATTATTTTCGTAAATATTTATTAAATCAACCATTATTTTAAACTTACCCGTTTTTAGCCTCAAATGTTGACGGTCAATGCAGCCGTCGCGACCACATCTACTTTACCTAATAATAATTATTTTAAATTTTAAAATTTAAATTTTCATCTCATTCATGATCCATCTAAACCTTTGTCTTAAATTTAAGTGACTTCATTTTTCCCAAAAGTACTTGAAACTTTAATTTCATATCTATATTTAATTATTGTATTTGATTCAATATCCTGTATTAAAATTATTAAATAGAATTCAGTAATTATTATTGGAACCTAACAATAAAACCTTACCAGAGATTATATATAATATGTTATATTACCAACCAGAGCATAATTTAACGAGGTAAGATATCTAACTACTTGCAACTAGTAAAATTGTTAAATGACTTAACTATCAATTAACATTGACATAGTGCCTCGTTGAAATTGTTGAAACTTGAAACGACTTGCAAAAGATTGATAACAAAATGATCGAGAGGAGGAGCAAAATTTGTTCATCACGTAAACATGCATTATTAAAAAAAACTCTTAAAAAGGATAATTTTCTTAAGCCAAAGAGAAGTCTAACAAGAAGAAAATGCTTCATGTAATCTGACAAAATCACTTTTGAGAGAAACGTTTGAATTGAAATACTCAACTCAAATAAATATCAAGAAGAAAAGCCATGTTTTGAAGATTTTTTTTTTTTTAAGTATTACAATTCAATCAGACAATATTGGTTTGAACTTATAGATAAACAAGATTTTACTGACCAATTGTATTTAGATCGGTGAGATTTGACCCTTCAATTACTGATAAATTGTGACTTGAACCACAATTATGTAATTTTCACCAATTTATTTGTTAGAAAAATGTCATATTTTAGATTAATGATGACTTTTAAAGGTAAAAATTCAAACCCATAGTTTCAAAAGACTAAAAACTGTCACGTTTTTTGAGTGGTGACCGCTAAACACTTAAATATTATTCTTATTTTACTACCATTCAAAACAAATAACAACTAATATCCAAAAAGTTAAAAATAAAAAAATAGCTTCATCCTAACTAGAGAAACACATAATTAAACATCTCTCAAAATAATTCAATTAATTAAAAGAGGTTAGCTGTATCAAACCTTTCAAAAAGATTATTCTAGTAATGCCAATTAGAATGTTGATTGATTTGATAGAACATGGCAATTAGTAAAAGTGGAAAAACCAGACATATTAATTTAACTCGTTCCTTGTTTCACTAGTTTGTTCAGTTGTATCTATTTGATTTGTCATCTATCTTCCAAAACACACCAAATTAACTGACATTTATTAAACATATATTAAACAATATCATTAATTCAACCGTGCAATTAAAACATCTTCAAGTTTAGGGGTACTTAACAGTTGGTTAAAGTACATGTAAACCATAAGGTCAAGAGTTCGAATCCTAACTCCTGTACTAAAAATAATTATAGACTAAGTAATAAAAAATAGGCAATTAAGTTTTTTTCTTCTAAGAAAAATAAAAATAAAAATAAAAATTGTGGTTTTAAAATGTAAAAATAATTTTAAGGAAACTTCATTTTCCATAAATTCGAGACAAATATTTCGACCTTCTATTAAAAGTTTCGCGCCCGACTCGTTTTCCTTTCCTTTATATTAACACCGGACGCCATTATATATATATAAAATTCTTTTGCCCATACGCCACCGATATTGACAAGCAGAAGAATTCAGCAGAAACGATCTCTTCCGGTTGGCGTATTTAGTGAACGCCATTTCGATCTTCGATCTTCAAACTTAATTCGTTAATGGCAGCTCTCAGCATCTTCTTCCTCGCTTTTCTTTCCGGTTTCGCTCTGTTTTATTTGATTTCTGCGCAGAATCCTTCAGGTAGGTGACTGAATTAATTAACCTCCATCGACCCGCAGAAATTTGATTATTGATYTACTCGTTTGCTGAATTCTTGTGACTTCACCTTTTCGGTGCTTAGGTTTCATCAGTTTAGACTGCGGACTCCCGGCGAACTCGACCTACACAGAGCCGACCACCGGAATAGTCTACGAATCCGACGCGGCGTTCATAAACTCCGGCGAGGTGCACAACATTTCATCCGATGGTGTACAGAATGGCCTGAATCAGCCGCTGTGGAGTCTGAGGAGCTTTCCGGAAGGAATTAGGCACTGCTACAAATTGAAAGTGAGGACAGGGACGAAGTACCTGATTCGAGCGAGGTTCCGCTACGGGAATTACGACGGGCGGAGAAACACGCCGGAATTCGATCTGCATTTCGGAGCCAACTTTTGGGATTCGGTAGGGTTTGAGGGAAATTTCACGGTGACGAAGGAGATTGTGCATATCGTTTCGTCGAGTGATGTGCAGGTTTGTGTTGTGAACGTCGGGACTGGAATTCCGTTCATCTCTGCTCTGGAATTGAGGCCTCTGCAAGATTCGGTTTACGAGACGGGAYCTGTGTCGCTGGTCAGTTTCTTGCGCCTCGATTATGGCTCCACTAACAATCAATCTTTCAGGTTAGTTTTGAATTTTGACCTCTCACCCTCTGCCGCTGCCTTTGTTGAATTCTGATTTCTTTTACATAGTTTATTTTAATTTCATGTCTACGAAGTTTTTCACGGCTTAATCAGAAACATATGCTAATTAAAGTTGAGCTAAGTTGATGCTCACTTTCACGAGTCAAGTTAGAAGTAGATCGGTAGATTCTTATTTCGATCAATTTGATGAAATCTATATAAATAAATATTAAAAAACCATAAAGGCGGTTGTCAGCAAAATGTAATAAGGTTGAGTAGAGATGCTCGATATGAAATAAAATTTTAAAAAAATTAATAAATAAAAAACAACAAATTGAGAATAATTTTCATCAATTGATTGCTTCACTCTGAGTCTGCGAAGGTATAAAGACGACGTGTACGATCGAATCTGGGATCCGCCGGTTCCAATCGAAGGATGGACTACCATAAACACTTCGGGGCAAGTAGCCGTCGACGACCCGCTCTTCTTCCAGCCGGCTCCGGCGGTCATGAACACGGCGGCGACCCCGAGAAACGCAAGCGCTCCAATGGAGTTCAGATGGCTGCCAMCGGACCCCACGGCGGCGTTTTTCGTCTACATGTATTTTGCAGAGCTGAAGGAGCTTCAAGCGAATGAGTCCAGAGTGTTCGACATAATGCTCAATGGAAAACTGTGGCATAATGAATCGATTTCTCCCGCCTTTTTAGCGGAATTGGTTGTTTTCAGTACCTCGCCTGTGACTGGCGGAACCTACGATGTCTCCATCGTCAAAACTGCCAATTCAACTCTTCCTCCGATTCTCAATGCTCTTGAGATTTATCGAGTCGTAAATTTCTCACAATCCGAGACCAATGAACAAGATGGTACGCACAACTTTACTGATTTTCCTCGCATTTAAATCATACTTCTGTGTTTAGAATACGCATGATCTAAACGCTGAATTATACAAAGTGCTGGTTAAACGTTTTATAAGTTTCGATTTTACCTCAATCTTTTGATTTGTTTAAAAGAAATCTTTAGTCAGTAATTTCTATTAGAATGGTTAAAGGAAGTTCAAAGATTGAGGATAAATCGGAAAATTTTTAGAAGTTGGGGGAAAAATTGAAACCAATTATATACGTTTTGTTGGTTTCAATTTTGCCCATAAACTATGTGTTTGGTTTTCATTTACTCTTTGTTTATAAATTTCACTTATAACGAAAATTTCCAACGGATGGTTGGGCCTAAATTGAAAATTTTCGAACAAAATGGAAACTAATTAGTGTAACTTAGCGTTTATCTAAACTAACATTGGAAATGTTTCAGTTGCCGCCATTGAAAACATCAAGGCAATTTATGGAGTTGGAAGGAACTGGCAGGGAGATCCATGTGCCCCTAGGGCATTTATTTGGCAAGGAGTCAACTGTAGCTTTGCGGATTCTGATCCTCCCAGAATCACATCCTTGTAAGTTTCTCAATCTGAGTAACCTTTCTGTCGACCATTTTTATGGTGTTAATATTTGATGTTTCAATGAAATTTTCCCTTATTTTCGAAATTTTTGTTTCTTGGAACTTCATTTGTATGGTCTTCTCACTGTAATGGCTGAATTTGCAATCAGGGATTTGTCCTCCAGTGGATTGACAGGGGAAATAGCCAGAGAKATTGGAAATCTTAAAATGCTGGAGACTCTGTAAGTGTAATCATCAGTTCCTCATGACAAAGAAAACTTTGAACTAAAATATCAGAATTAATACTTACAAGAAATTCATTTCTGATTTTTGGTTTCTTTTAGAGATTTATCAAACAATAATTTGAGCGGACCAGTGCCAGAATTTCTCACTCAATTGCCATTGTTGCGAGTCCTGTAAGTTACAGAAAAGTAGTTTGACAAATCAAAAGTCATTTTTTACCTTAGCCAGAATAAATGAATAATGGCTAACACTTTGCATCTTTCATTGCAGAAACTTGGAAAAAAACAAGCTTTCAGGACTAATTCCGGCTCAGCTCATTGAAAAGTCCAATAATGGTTCTCTATTATTAAGGTGTAGTATCTCTAAAAATGCATAACAGAATCAATATGATTTCTCTAGGCAGTTTTCGTACTTCAGTGGCTGAAAACTATTTGAGGATTCCTAAAAGTCATGCTAACATCTTTGTTTTTATTTCTTTCTTGTGATAGATTTAGCGAAAATCCAAATCTTACTACGGCTCAGAGAAAAAGGAAGGGAAGCAATGTTGTAGTTGCTGTAGTAGCATTAGTTGGTGGATTTCTTCTGCTTGCATTCTTAATTGCAGCAGCTATCTTTTGGAGGACAAAAAGAAGAAAACCGAAAGGTGAGGCCATATATGAAACCATTTTTCAATGAATTTACTCTCTAAAATTTATTTTGTTGCTATTTTCATATCTAAGCTAGTGATATCATTTTAGGTGATGTAATTGGAGAGGTGAAACAGACTGTTCATCAAGCTCAAAATTGGGACACGGCTAAGAGACGCTATTCGTACTCGGATGTCCTAAGAATTACAAACAATTTCGAGCGTATGCTTGGAGAAGGCGGTTTTGGAAGAGTTTACTATGGAAAAATCGAGAACACTGAAGTAGCTGTAAAGATGCTATCTCCTCAATCAGTTCAAGGGTATCGGCAATTTCAAGCAGAGGTATGGAACTYTTAACAACTTCCAAATACATACTTTAACTTCTCTCAATTGACACTCAAATTCCAATAATTTCAGGTTGACCTTCTTATGAGGGTTCATCATCGAAACCTGACCGGTCTTGTTGGGTACTGCAACGAATCGACCAACAAAGGACTTATCTATGAGTACATGGGCAGAGGGAACTTAGGATCTTTCATGACAGGTCTGGTTTTGGTCATTGCTGAGTAAAAGATTTTGTTGGTTTATGCTGTTTTCTTAATTTTTAAAACTGAAGAAACAGTAATATTTTGAACTTCACTTATGTATTTTTGGTTTTTATATGGATGACATGTAGGTGGCAAGTCAGATTTGTTGAACTGGGAAGACAGGCTTCATATAGCAGTGGATGCAGCACAAGGTTAGTAATAAATAATGGGTTGAAATACTATTTTCATCGTTGTACGTTCAACTTTGGTTCATTTTGGTCCCTATACGATCAAAGTATCTATTTTGCACACTATTTTTTAATTTTGTTCATTTCAATCCTTGAACTTCTAAGATTTCTGTTTTGGTCCTCGTACTTTTGACTATTTTGGATGCTTCAAAAGTCAGATGAACACTTGAAAATTACAGAAATAAAATGGATATTTTGAAGTTACACGTACAAAATCATATTTAAATCTAAATAATAATATTAAGCTTGACTTGTTTGGTAAATGCCACTTCTTTCAGTTTCTTATTCTCTCATTTCATTGTGATTTAGGATTGCAATACTTGCATTGTGGTATAAAGCCAGCTATTGTACATAGAGATGTAAAATCTTCCAACATCTTATTGGACGACAACTTTCGAGCAAAAGTATCTGATTTCGGTTTGTCGAGAATTTTTCCTGTCGACGATGGTGCCACTCATGTGACAACCAATGTGGTCGGCACTCCTGGTTACCTTGATCCTGAGTAAGTAGCTATCTTCTATTCGAATCCCTCTCTGACAATAAAACAACTTCTAACGATGTTACTAAATCTTACGAACTCTATTCGCTTACAGATATTACACATCTTACCGATTAAACGAGAAGAGCGACGTGTACGGCTTCGGAATTGTTCTTCTTGAAATCATAACTGGGAGACCAGTCTTGACAAAGACTCAAAACAAGGTAACTCACATCTATCAATGGGTCGACTCGATGCTTTCTCAAGGAGACATCAATTCCATTATCGACCCCAAATTGAAACAAGATTTCGACATGAACACCATTTGGAAAGCGGTTGAGATAGCAATGTGCTGTGCATCTCACGCCTCTACAAATCGGCCAACCATGAGCCAAGTTGTGATAGATTTGAATGAATGTTTGAACATGGAGTTGGCTAGCAGTAACAACAATCATCAACCTGAATCAGTAGTTGCAGATCACATTTCTCTGTTTGGTCCAGAGGCAAGGTAGATGGGGTTCCTAAAKAATTGTTATGTATCATATTGAGATCCGTAAGATTGTACATGTAAATGTGTAACATCAAAATTCTTTTATTCGGGAGGATAACACCTCCATATTCTTTATTTTTTTTTTCTCAATTTTAGTAGGTTTGTAGTCGTTTTAGGCCTGTATTTTGATCCATATAATTTGAAAATATGCATTAACCTTTGGCTTGATAAAAAGTTATTTGGGTTCAAAGCCTAATTTCTATAATGTTATATATGAAGCTGTCTTGAAAAATCAATCCATTTGATTTGTTGATATTACCATACTAAAATTTTTCTTTGTATTAGCCTTTTACAAACAATTGAGGATCAAGGAATAAATATTCATTGACATTGTGACATTTTCACAGATATTTTTATGTGTGTATGAATTCGACRTCAAAGGATAAATTAACATTTCTATAGTCACAAAATAAATCRACAAAATATGAAAATATCAACAAAATATTATTAATAYAGATATAATATTAATATTAATCATTTTACACTTATTATTATTATTATTTTATTGATATTAGTATGTCCGGACAAGTTTGCACGCATCTCGATTATTCACAGGCCAACCACCTAACCCTACTACATTTGGTTGAGAAAAAAACTCGTAAGATATTAGATCCTAGRTAGGCGGCTACCATGGTTATTTTACACTTATTTATAAAAAGTAAAATACTTATTTGTTAATTTAAATATTTTTTATAAATTTTTTTATAACTTTTATAGAAATATTCATCAACATCGAGATTTTATTAGATATTTTTATCAACATTTTCACGAAATTGAAAACCTCAACATTTTTATAAACATTTACGTCRACATGATTTCTCATTTCTCCAAAATAAGTATAACCTAACTAGTMATTATATTACCCACTTGAGCTTAGTTTAACAATATTGACCTCCCTCCAGGTGGGTTGGGACCCCACATCCCACTAGTTATATTAAAAATTAAAAAAAAAAACAGTCATTGTAATTTACCACCCATTTATCCAACTAAAAAAAACATAAATTCTCATTCATTAATTGAAACTTTTTGTCATCCTTGATATCAGCTTCCCTAATTTAATTTATTTTTGTTTAATTGTTTATGTCAGAAATTAAATGACACGAACCAGTCAAACGGGCCCAAGACAACTAATAATTAAAAGAATAATCTCTCTASATTCTCACCATGGAACATGATTGATTGATGACATTTCTCTATCTTACATTCTTTATTCTGAAAAAGATAATTATATCTTATCACCACCTTGATGAACTCAAACCCCAAAATAATATATAACTTATTTTGCCTAATTTTGTTCGATTATTGTTTAAATTATTACAAGTAGAAAGAGGCGGATAAAACTAGAGATGAACAACATATAGTTCTTTGGATTTTTGGAAAATGTCGTAAATTATGTTGATTTTTTCACTACTTGCCATTTATTTAGCAATTGTGTTTAGGGTCCAATCTAAATGAGATTAGTTCATAGCAATGTTCTCTCTCTTGCATCAAAGTTGGGAACGAAGAATGAGTGCCAGTGTGGGATATAGAACTCAACAAAAGAGAGAGAAATTGCTTGAGAAGCCACCAAAGTGGAGGAAAAGGAAGCCATCCATCGAAAGAGAGAAGTTATACACAAGATACATTTGTCTCGTGTGATTAATTGAGGGGATATTCATGGAAATCGAAAAGGTTTTGTACAAGATGCCTTAAATATTAAGGAGGTACTTGATTCACAGGTTTGTAACACATTGATTTATAGTCTAGAGATAAGAATTTAAAGATTTAAATACTCTTTTGGTCATTATACGTTCGATTTTGATTCATTTTGGTTCATATAGTTTCAAAACGTTCATTTTGATTCTATAGTCAACTAATGGTCAAAGAATGGTTAGGGATGATTTAAAACAAATTCTCAAACTTTAGGGACAAAAAGTGTTTATTTTGAAACTTAAGAACCAAACTGACATCTACTCCAAATCTCACGAACCAAAAATGTTATTTTGAATCTTTAGGAACCAAATTGACACCTACCTCAAACTTCAAGGACCAAAAATGTATTTTTCTCTTCATTTTAGTACTTGTACTTTAAAAAACGTTCATTTTAATCCCGATACTTTGAAAATGTAACTATTTTGTTCATTCATTTTGATTTTTGCCTCATTTGTTTAAATAAAAAATTTAGCATGACACTTCCCTCATTAAATTTCTTGAAATGTAAGTTATAAATTTGTATTAAATAGTTCATTTTGTGTATAAAATGTGTTAATTTTTTGTAAATAGATATCAAAATTGTCACTTTTAAAAAATATATAGACCAAAACAGATGTTTTAAAAGTATATGAACTAAAATGAAAAACAAAATTAAAAATAAAGAGATAAGAAAAATACATAGATCAAACCATATTTAAACGAAATTAAAACTTTTGTAATACCGAGATAGCATAGATCTAAAGATAGTATACTAGAAACCTAAATACACCTCAAACAAGTAAACTCAAGAATAACTCATCTGGTTAAGATAGTTTTCTGATCAAAAGATTGTGGTTTCGAATCATCATTTTAAAAAAAATAATAATAATACACCTCAAACAAATAAGCATCATATTTCAATACCATTCTCAAATAACCACCAATTGAGTTGTTTTTCTGAATTTTTTCTTTTCTATTTTTCTATTTTCGTTGACCATTTCAACCAAGTTGGCAACAGGCTGATCCTCACTCGGAAGATTCCCACTGTTATCTCCCAAATGATAAAAGTCTGGGGTTGACTTTGGAAATTGTAAGACAACGCAATCTGTAATGAACATTATAATATGTAAACATGGCGTAAACGAATACTCCCCATTTCCAAATTTTTCATTAAAAATCTCATTCTTCGATCCCACAAAACAGAGCTCTAGTTGACCTGACCAATTCAACTGACTGCACAATCCATAAATTGTTCGACGAAATGCCTCAATCACTGCCAAACTAATCCAATGGGAAAATTCAACACCTTCATTCTGGCCTTTCTCCCCAGTTTTGTTCTTCTGCATTTGGTTCATGCCCAGAGCCAGCAAGGTCTGCATTCAAAATTCTTCTACTATATTTGATTTCGTTACTAGTTTGCAAGCTTAAGGCTTAAGAGCTTGTTTCTTCTTGTACTGTTTTTCAGGCTTCATCAGTATTGACTGTGGGTCTAATTCTAGTTACTCAGAGCCAACTACGGGTATAAATTATGTTGCTGATACTCCATACGTCAACACTGGCTTGGTACAGAGTATATCATCAGATTATACATCTAAAACTCTTCAGAAACAGCTATGGAATCTAAGAAGCTTTCCTGATGGGACAAGGAACTGCTATAACATTCAAGCGAAAGTGAAACTTGGCACCAAGTACTTGATTCGAGCCAGTTTCTTGTATGCAAATTACGATGGCCAAAATAGCGTTCCAAAATTTGATCTATACTTTGGAGCGAACTTTTGGACGACAGTGACATTGAAAACGGTAGCCGCTATTGTAGATGAGGAGATCATTCACATCACAACTTCAAACCAAGTGCAGGTTTGTCTTGTCAACACTGATAATGGGGTACCCTTTATTTCGTCCTTGGAGTTGAGGCCATTGCCAAACACCACTTACCAAACTGTGAGTGGTTCATTAGCAACCTTCTTGCGCCTGGATATTGGTTCCCCAAATGGTACTTACATCCGGTGAGTTGTCCTTTGAACTTGGGGTTATTTTCTCTAACAAACTATGAAGTTTGATTGATCAGAAAAACTGTATTTACTTATTGTGTTATATACTTCTTTTAGATATCCCGATGACGTATATGATCGTATTTGGAGTCAACCAGCTCCATTGATCAACTGGACTCCATTGAGTACTTCATCTGTGGTCAACAACCAAGACAGTGGTGGTTATATGGTACCCTCTAAGGTGTTGAGTACTGCCTCCACGGTAATAAATGCAAGTGAACCAATGGAATTTTATTGGGAGGATGATCAGCCTAACCAATACTATGCATTCTTGTACTTTTCTGAACTTGTGGTGCTCAAAGCCAACCAATCTAGATTGTTCAAAATCTATGTAAATGACAAGATCTGGTTACGCGACAATGTTGTTGTTAACTATCTATCGGAAAACCTTGTTTATAGCCTAAGTCCCTTGACTATTAATACTACATATGACTTCAAATTGATCATGTCCGAAGGTTCAACTCTTCCACCCATCTTGAACGCAATTGAAATATTCCAAGTGATGAACTTTGTAGCGATTACAACAGACCAAGGAGATGGTAACATTTATGCACATTTATTTTTCAGGGTACAATTGAGACAATAAGTTTTGTTGTTTCTCTAGAAACTTACTTCAATATCCCAATTTCTTCTTTGCAGTCGATGCCATGGAATCCATTCAAGAAACCTATGGGGTTACAAAAGATTGGCAAGGAGATCCATGTGTCCCGAAACCATTTGCTTGGAAGGCTCTCAACTGTAGTTATGATGCTTCAAATCCTCCTAGAGTCACAGGGCTGTGAGTATTTTTGTATTTATTAGAAAATTCATAGGAATGGTTCCCTCATATGGAAGTTGGGTTGATAGTCCAATTCTTTTCAGAGACTTATCGTCGAGTGGATTGACCGGAGAAATTTCAGTCAACATATCAAAACTAGCAAAGCTAGGAGTTCTGTAAGTGTCTTTTTTCTACATCTCTAAAAATTCTCTTGGGTTGATCTTATATCTTCTTAAAACTAACCAAGTTTGAGATGGTTTATTTAAAATTTAATTTCTTTATTTTTATACACATATTTATCTCTATGTATCAAAATAGAGGTTAAAATAATCTTCATACTAGAGATTGATAAATTACTCAATCGTTTCAGAGATTTGTCAAACAATAGCTTAAGTGGAGCAGTGCCTGCTTTTCTCGCTGGAATGTCATTTTTGAGTGTCATGTAAGTTTAATTTAAACTATGTCAAAAGGTTATCAACATCTATAAGAAGATTTATATGTATCACATACTATTGGTCAATATTACAGAAAATTATCTGGAAACAACCTGTCAGGACAAATTCCTAAAGAACTTCTTGACAAAATAAACCAAGGCTCTCTTTCATTAAGGTTTGCCTTTGTTTTTCATTAAACCTTATAAATATTATCAATGCCTTTTTACCTAGTTATTAACTTTCATGAATGTTACTTTCACAAGTATTAATGGGAATCCAAATCTACAAGGGACAACACCAAGTGAAAAGAAGAAGAATAACATAGTAGTTCCTATAGTAGCAGCAGTTGCCGGTGTTATTATCATTGTAGTATTCATTTTAGCTCTTGTTTACTTCATTCGACGGAAAAGAAGTCTTAAAGGTAAGCCAATAAGTAGCTTCTTAACTTTTTCTTCGTATCGAAACTTCTATAATATGTCTGTACTAAGCATCTGAATGCTACAGGCCCAACCATAGTGGAGCCTCATTCACCACAAAATTCTCAAGTAGAACTTCATCCACATGAGCCATCACAGACACCAAGTCCAATACAGACACCAAGTCGACAATATTCCTACTCAGACATCTTAAAAATTACCAATAATTTTGGTAGACTATTGGGTGAAGGTGGGTTTGGAAAGGTTTATTATGGCCGAGTTGGTAGCACTGAAGTGGCTGTAAAGATGTTATCTCCAAAATCAGCTCAAGGGTATCGAGAATTTCAAGCAGAGGTATGTACTCTTAACACAATGAACTTAAATATTTTAGCACTCGATATCCGTTTTCTTTTCTAATGCTTTTTGATTTACACTGTAAAAAACTATTGCTCATGACAGGTGGATCTTCTCTTGAGAGTTCATCATAGAAACTTAACTAGTCTCGTTGGATACTGCAATGAAGGGGAGACAAAGATGGGGCTTGTCTATGAATACATGGGCAAAGGAAACTTGGGATCAATTCTTCTAGGTAGGAATTAAAGTGAATTCATAGTTGAACACCCAACCCCTAAAGCTCTACTGATATTCTTTCAATAACTTTTATGCAGGTGGAAAAGGAGAAGTTTTAAGATGGGAAGAAAGACTTCAAATAGCACTAGATTCAGCACAAGGTTGGCAAGTAAAAATAATATGCTAATCTCATTCAGCTTTGCTGTAAAATCAAAATGAAGTCTTATTTCCATTCTGAATAATACATGTAAACATTTGCAGGATTGGAGTATCTACATAATGGTTGTAGACCACCAATTGTCCACAGGGATATCAAATCAAGCAACATTCTATTGAACGAATATTTACAAGCAAAACTTGCTGATTTTGGTCTCTCAAGAGCTTTTCCTACTGAAGGGGACGCCACCCATGTGACAACCAAAGTGGTTGGAACTCCTGGCTACCTCGATCCTGAGTACGTTTTTCCTACACTCTTTTAGTACAAGAATACATAAACTCACTTTAGGCAGGGCAATAAATTGATGACATTTCAATTTTTGGTTTTTAGGTATTACACGTCGTACAGATTGACGGAGAAGAGTGATGTTTATAGCTTTGGAATCGTTATTCTAGAACTCATCACTGCGAGACCAGTATTAGTGAAAAGCAGTGAGAAAAGTCACATAATTCAGTGGGTTGATTCCAACCTTAATCAAGGTGATATCTATTCTATAGCTGACCCCAAAATAAAAGAAGATTGCAACATTAACTCTGTATGGAAAGCAGTGGACATAGGAATGTCCTGCACTGYCTATGATTCTGCAAACAGACCAACAATGAGTCAAGTTGTAAGTGAACTCAAAGAGTGTCTAAACCTTGAGTTAAATCATAGAGGTCACCAAATTGACTCTGCAACCTCTATCTCCTCAACATTCCATTCTGAGCTTGGTCCTATGGCAAGATAGTTCCTGTTGTATAAAAAAGGCCTTGTAATGTTTTTCTCTTTGTTATTATTATTTTTATATTATGTTAAAGACAATTGTAATTTAGTTTTACCAACCCTTGAAATTGCCCAGGGATGACTTTCCAATCCCATTCTCACCTCCCTTTTCTTTCTCCATCTAGCAAAATTCCCCACAAAATTTAGTGGGCATAAGTACCTCATGAAATTATTTCTCGTAAATTATTATTTTTATTACGTTCAACCATTTGTTATTATTTTTTAAAGATTTTCTCAATTAAACATTAATTCTCAATAGCATTCTCAATTAATTGGTTAAATCCCCACGAGAAACCTTCATTTGAAAGGAAAAGATCTTAAATTTTCTAAGAATGTCCCATAATTCATTGAAAACGTAAACATTACGACATTGTCTTGTAAAGTAACAATGTCTAGTAAATTTCACATCTAGATATTTAAGTTTAGGGTTTATATATATATAAAAACTAAATGGGGTGGGGACAAAGAGTATATTCCTTGCCCTGATCCCATTTAGGTCACGGGAAAATTTCCCAACAAGGTGCTTAAATGAGGATTTCCCGCCGCGTCTTGAGTGGGTCCCCGTGGAACTTTGTTGAGTTATGACTTATGAGTTTTTTCTTTTAAACGTAAGTTTAATTTTCAGTTTTTATTTCTTTAAGTTTCTTTCATTAATTGTTAGATTTAATTTTCAGTTTTTTATCTTTTAAGTTTTATTTGTATGAATGGTAAGTTTCTCCATTTTAATGTTGGTTTAAGTGATGTGTTTTGTACACCTATATAAGGGTGAACTTCCATAAGAAGTTTGTATCACCAATATTTATACTTTCATTTGTTTATTCACAATTTTGTATCACTTCAATTAGAAGTTGATTTTTCCTTCTATTGAATTCTTCTCTCTCACATTTCATATTTCCTCATTGTTCATCAAACATTGAGATTTTTACTATTGCTTCTGCATTACTTTTATCACTTTCATTTTCTCAACAAACTTGTCTTTGCTAGAAAAAGTAACACCCTTAATCATAAGCCAACATCACCAAGAGGAATGGTATAATTATTTTTTTTTTAACAAGATACGAATGTTTCATTAAAGTAATCTAAAGGAACAATAATGTTCAAAGATACGAACTCTCGAAAGAGTAAAAAGAAAAACAGAAAAAGAAAGATAAAGAAATTAACAAGAAGCGATGAAGGCTCCCCAATTAGAACAAACCAGATTAGGAGAGTAATTTCTAAATAAAGATACAGAAAACACCACTCAGAAACCTAGTGGTGAAACCTTAAACTTAGCTAAGCTGAATCTAATTGTCAGGGGCCGTTTTCTTCCTTCAAAAGTTCTGAAATTCCTTTCAAACCACAACTCATAAAGCACTGCCTTTATAGCATTAAGCCATAAAGATTCGCTTTAGGAGACAAAGCAAGCCCGAGAGGAAGTTGAAACAAGTAAATTTGAAACTTTTTAAATAATAATGTATTTAAAAAAAAACACACACGCACAAAAAAACATTATAGAGTAAAACAATAGATTTATCCTTTTATTTTATCTATCTATTTTCATTGACCACTCGACCAAGTTGCAAACAGGTTCAGCATCAACTCGAAAGTTCATATTGTTATTGGCTGAAGCAACAAGTCTACTTGACTTCGAAAGGTAAGGCAGTTTAATAACATTACAATATGTACAAATATGTATAAATATGGCATACACGTTCTTCTTAGTAGAACAAGGGTGTGGGCTCCAATTTTTTCTAGTTGACATATTCATCTTAGTGCATAGTCCATAAATTGTTCGACGAAATGCCTCAGTCACGGATTATCCTAAACCAATGGGGAGATCCAACGGCTTCCTTCTGGCTTTTCTTCCTAGTTTTGTTCTTCTACATTTGGTTCATGCCCAGAGCCAGCAAGGTCTGTATTCTCAATTCTGCTACTACATTTGTTTTCAATAAATGGGCTAAGAACTTTCCTTCTTGTACTGCTTTTCAGGCTTCATTAGTATTGATTGTGGGTCGAATTCTAGTTACACAGAGCCAATTACAGGTATAAACTATGTTGCTGATTCTCAATACGTCAAAAGTGGCTTGGTAAAGAGTATATCATCAGATGATATACCAAATACTCCCCTGAAACAGCTATGGAATCTAAGAAGCTTTCCTGAAGGGAAAAGGAACTGCTATAGCATTAAAGTGAAACTTGGCACCAAGTATCTGATTCGAGCCAGTTTCTTGTATTCAAATTATGATGGCCAAAATGACATTCCAGAATTTGATCTATACTTTGGACCAAACTTTTGGACCACGGTGACATTGGAAACTGTACAGAATATTTTGGATGAGGAGATCATTCACATCACAACTTCAAACCAAGTACAGGTTTGCCTTGTCAACACTGATACTGGGGTACCCTTTATTTCGGCCTTGGAGTTAAGGCCATTGCCAAGCACCACTTACCAAACTGTGAGTGGATCATTGGCAACCTACTTCCGCTTCGATATTGGTGCTCCAAATGATACTTACATACGGTGAGTTGTATCTTTTGAACTTGGGGTTATATTCTTTAACAAAGTATGAGGTTTGATTGATCAGAAAAACTATATTTACTTATTGCGATGTACACTTATTTTAGATATCCAGATGATATATATGATCGTATTTGGACTCCACCAGCTCCATTGATCAGATGGACTCCATTGAGTACTTCATCTTTGATTAAAAACCAAGACAGTGATGGTTATATAGTACCCTCTAAGGTGTTGAGTACTGCCTCCACGGTAATAAATGCAAGTGCACCAATGAAATTTTTTTGGGAGTATAATCAGTCTTACCAATTCTATATATTCATGTACTTTGCTGAACTAATGGTGCTCAAAGCCAACCAATCTAGGTTGTTCAAAATCTATCTAAATGACAACATTTGGTTACGCGACGATGTTGCCACTGCTTATCTATCGGAAAACATTGTTTATAGCACAAAACCTTTGACTACAAATGGTACATATGACTTCAAATTTGTCAAGTCCGAAGGTTCAACTCTTCCACCCATCTTGAATGCAGTTGAAATATTCAAAGTAATGAACTTTGTAGCAGTTACAACAGACCAAGGAGATGGTAAAATTTGTGCACATTGATTTTTCATGGTACTACGAAACCACAAGTTTTGTTGCTTCTCTAGATAATTACTTCAATATCCCAATTTCTTCATTGCAGTTGATGCCATTGAATCCATTCAAGCAACCTATGGGGTTACAAAAGATTGGCAAGGAGATCCATGTGTCCCGGAAACATTAGCTTGGATGGCTCTCAACTGTAGTTATGATGCTTCAAATCTTCCTAGAATCACAGGGCTGTGAGTATCCTCGCATTTATTAGAACTCAAGTTGTTGTAATGGTTCTTTCATAAGAAAGTTAGGTTGATGGTCCAATTCTTATCAGAGACTTATCGTCGAGCAAATTGACCGGAGAAATTTCAGTCAACATATCAAAACTAGCAAAGCTAGGAGTTTTGTAAGTGTCTTTTTCTACGACTCTAACATTCTCTTGGGTTATCTTATATTTTCTCAAAACAAATGAAGTTTGTGATGGTCTATTTAAAATTTCATTTCTTCTTTTTATACGAATAATTACTTCTGTGTATCGAAATAGAGGTAGAATAATCTCCTTACTAGAGATTGATAAATTACTCAATTGTTTCAGAGATTTGTCAAACAATAGCTTAAGCGGAGCAGTGCCTGCTTTTCTTGCTGGAATGCCATTGTTGAGTGTTATGTAAGTTTACTTTAAATCGCATGAAATGATTATCAACATCTACAAGAATATTATTTATATGTATCAAATTCTATTTGTCAATATTGCAGAAACTTATCTGGAAACAACCTGTCAGGACAAATTCCAAAAGAACTTATTGACAAAATAAACAAAGGCTCTCTTTCATTAAGGTTTGCTTTTGTTTTTCATTAAACCTTGTAAATATTATCAATGCCTTTTTACCAAGTTATTAACTTTCATGGATGTTACTTTCACAAGTGTTGATGGGAATCCAAATCTACAAGGGACAACACCAAGTGAAAAGAAGAAGAATAACATAGTAGTCCCTATAGTAGCAGCAGTTGCTGGTGTTATTATCATTGTAGTATTGATTTTAGCTTTTGTTTACTTCATTCGACGGAAAAGAAGTCTTAAAGGTAAGCCAATAAGTTGCTTCTTAACTTTTTCTTCGTCTCGAAACTTCTATAATATGTCTGTTCTAAGCATCTGAATGCTACAGACCCAACCATAGTGGAGCCTCGTTCACCACAAAATTCTCAAGTAGAACTTCATCCACATGAGCCGTCACAGACACCAAATCCAATACAGACACCAAGTCGACAATATTCCTACTCAGACATCTTAAACATTACCAATAATTTTGGTAGGCTATTGGGTGAAGGTGGGTTTGGAAAGGTTTATTATGGTCGAATTGGTAGCACTGAAGTGGCTGTAAAGATGCTATCTCCAAAATCAGCTCAAGGGTACCGAGAATTTCAAGCAGAGGTATGTAATCCTAACACAATGAACTCAAACCTTTTAGCACTCAATATCTGTTTTCTTTTCTAATGCCTTTTGAGTTACACGTACAAAAATATTGCTCATGACAGGTGGATCTTCTCTTGAGAGTTCATCATAGAAACTTAACTAGTCTTGTTGGATATTGCAATGAAGGAGAGACAAAGATGGGGCTTGTCTATGAATACATGGGCAAAGGAAACTTGGGATCAATTCTTCTAGGTGGGAATTAAATTGAGTTCAATAGTTGAACACCCACCCACTAAATTTCAACTAATATTCTTTCTACGAATTTTACGCAGGTGGTAAAGGACAAGTGTTAAGATGGGAAGAAAGACTTCAAATAGCACTAGATTCAGCACAAGGTTGGCAAGTAAAAATAATATGCTAATTTCATTCAGCTTTGCTGTAAAATCAAAATGAAGTCTTATTTCCATTCTGAATAATACATGTAAACATTTGCAGGATTGGAGTATCTACATAATGGTTGTAGACCACCAATTGTCCACAGGGATATCAAATCAAGCAACATTCTATTGAACGAATATTTACAAGCAAAACTTGCTGATTTTGGTCTCTCAAGAGCTTTTCCTACTGAAGGGGGCGCCACCCATGTGACAACCAAAGTGGTTGGAACTCCTGGCTACCTCGACCCTGAGTACGTTTTTCCTACTCTTTTAGTACAAGAATACATAAACTCACTTTAGGTAGGGCAATAAATTGATGACATTTCAATTTTTGGTTTTTAGGTATTACACGTCGTACAGATTGACGGAGAAGAGTGATGTTTATAGCTTTGGAATCGTTATTCTAGAACTCATCACTGCGAGACCAGTATTAGTGAAAAGCAGTGAGAAAAGTCACATAATTCAGTGGGTTGATTCCAACCTTAATCAAGGTGATATCTATTCTATAGCTGACCCCAAAATAAAAGAAGATTGCAACATTAACTCTGTATGGAAAGCAGTGGACATAGGAATGTCCTGCACTGYCTATGATTCTGCAAACAGACCAACAATGAGTCAAGTTGTAAGTGAACTCAAAGAGTGTCTAAACCTTGAGTTAAATCATAGAGGTCACCAAATTGACTCTGCAACCTCTATCTCCTCAACATTCCATTCTGAGCTTGGTCCTATGGCAAGATAGTTCATGTTGTATAAAAAATGCCTTGTAATGTTTTTCTCTTTGTTATTATTATTTTTATATTATGTTAAAGACAATTGTAATTTAGTTTTACGAATCCTTGAAATTGCCTTAATCTATATGTACAATACCACAAATAGCATATTCAATGAACATGAAGATTAAAAATATGTTGAATTTTAAATCAAATATCTCCACAGTGATATGATATTACATGTTGTGGGTAGAACTATCACGACTTTACTTTCTGTTTCACCAAAAATACTTCACATCAATAGAGGATCTTCATCTATATAACCATAATCTTCCCTTTATTTAGCTAATGTAGAACTTTGGTTGCATTCTCAATAAAATTTACTTTTAAAAATTAAAATTTGTTTAATAACTAATTTTTAAATAACTTTTTTAATAATTTGAAATTGCGCGCTTTATTTTTGTTCTAAATTATGGGGTCAAAGTTTTTGAATCTGTCCAACGTTGACTTTCGTTTTTATTTACCTTCTACGCCATTTCCCAGTATCCAATCAAATGAGTTGTCTTTTCGTACGAATCGGACATTTGCCTTTTAAAAAAAAAGTTAATAATTATAAATTATAAATCATTAAAAAATTTGGGTTTAGAGTCAAAATCATACCAACATGTCTCTAAGGTTTCAATAATGCATCATTTTAGCCTCAGTTTGGAATTAAAAAAAATAAAAAAACATGATTTAAAGCCTATTCTTTCAGGTTTAATCCTAACTCAGATATCAAATGGATATTTTTCCCTAGAAATAATTCAGTAAAAAATCCCTATGTTTACTAGAACATGATTTAAAGCCTATCCTTCTAGGTTTAAGCATAACTCCGAGATCAAATGGATATTTTTCTCTAGAAATAATTCAGTAAAAAATCCCTATGTTTACTAGGTCAATCTGCATATCAAAAAGCCTATCATTTCAAGTTTAAGAATATCAAATTACAATGTCAAAACGAGCATAACTCGACATTAATTGACATATATCTCTAACCAATAAATTGTGAGTTCGATTCCCACTCCCACATGTTGTACTAAAAATATATCTATATATCAAATTACATGAATGTTGGCTTATTGTTAAGTCTTTGGTTGACATTCTCACATTTAGATTATTAACAGTCTGTATGAGCCTTCGTGAGAAGAACTGATAAGCTAAGAAGAGGATATCGTCATAGTCAAATGACAACTTGAGGCAAAAATATATTCTGATCTGAGAAACATGCCATTCCTTTAGGTCCCACTTAACCAAAGTTGACCACTTGGTTGAGCAATAAATTGTTCGACGAAATGCCTCAGCGAATGAGCTCAAGCACTAAAAGATTCATAGGGAAGTCCAAACACTTTCAGTTTCTTCTCTTTGTAGCCAGCTTTGTTCTCTGCAATTGGTTTATGGCCAGAATCAACAATGTATGTGTTGTGACGTTTGTGTGCATATGCTACTACAGCCTGCTTAGTTTATATGTGCTGATATGTTTTTGTGCTGGTGTTTCAGGCTTTATTAGTATTGATTGTGAATGGAATTCTAGCTACATTTTAGAGCTAATTACAGGCTTATATTATGTTCCAGATTTCGGTTTTATCAACACTGGAGCAATAAGGAGCATACCATCGACCACTTTTGAGAAACAAGTATGGAATGTAAGAAGGTATCCTCGAGGAACAATGAACTACTACAATATCATATAAATTTTGGCACCAAATATCTGACTTGTTCTAGTTTCAAGGTCCAAACGTGTAACTTTTAAAACTTAAATAACAAAATAGAAACTAAATTCAAGTTTTAAGGACCACAAGTGATAGTTTTTAAAACTCAAGACCAATTAGAATCCAAGTCCAAATTTCATGGTCCAAAATATAATTTACCTCAAATTCAATATAAAATATTAGGTTAACAATCTAATTTTTAAAAGTTATAAAAAAAAAAGAAAAAGAAAAAACTTTCACCTTAAACCAGATCGTGGTGGAAATTGTAAGAATCTATGATACAAAATAAACAAAATATTTATAGCCATTAACTAATAATTTAACAAAAAAACGACGTTTAATAAAATACATGTTGATTTTTCTAGCTTTTTTAGAGAAAATCGAAGGTTGACCATTTTATTTATGACACATAAGAATGACCATTAATTGTATTATAGGTGTTTGATATGTTAATGTCGTTGTCAAAGAAAGTCCTATATCTGAATCATTCAACTGAGTCCACAATTTGCTGAATGCTTCAACTGGAAAGATGAATCCATCCTGAGTTCATACTCGTACTCAGAACAAACTCATAGTCCCATGAAGACATTCAAACACTGCTTGTTGGCCCTCTTCGCCACTGTTGCTTTGGTTCACGGCCAGGACCAACGAGGTTTCCTTAACTTGGTACACTTTCAAGCGATAGTATAGATATTATAAACACTCATCTTCATCTTCTTTGCATTTTCAGGCTTCATTAGCATAGACTGTGGATCAAATTCCAGCTCTACGTATACAAACACGCGCATAATTACGTTGCCGATGTCAGTTTTACTGATACCGGCACCACGAGCAGCATATCACCAGACTATATATCAGATACTCTCCCCAAAGAGCTATGGACTGTGAGAAGCTTTCCTCTAGGAGAGAGAAATTGCTATACCGTTGAAGTAGATTTTGGCTTAAAATACTTGATTCGAGGCACATTTTTGTATGCAAACTACGATGGTCAAAACAAAATTCCAGAATTTGATCTGCATTTTGGACCAAACTTTTGGGTTACAGTGAAACTCGAAACAGAAAGCACCATCCATAGCGAGGAGATCATACACATCACAACTTCAGATCGTGTACAAATTTGTCTAGTAAACACTACAAATGGAACACCCTTTATTTCAACCTTGGAGTTTAGGCCTTTGAAAAACGACATTTACAAACCACAAATTGGATCTTTATCAACATTCTTGAGGTTGGATATTGGCTCCAAAGACGACAAGTTTTACAGGTCAGTTCTTTTTTTCTTCTTTTTTATTGTTTGTAAAGTATAATGTGTGATAAAGTCTTTACTTTTTTAGATATCCAGACGACATCTATGATCGTACTTGGAGTCCAGCAGTTCCAATTTCTGCATGGACTGCAATTAGTACAGAAAATCAAGTGAACAACCAAGATGAAGATGGTTTTCTAATACCATCTGTGGTTTTGAGTACTGCCTGCACGGTGATCAACGCAAGTGAACCAATGACATTCTTCTGGAGTGACCCCTTACAATCTAATGAATTTTATATCTACATGTACTTTGCAGAGCTCGAAAGCTCCAAGCAAACCAATCGAGATTATTCAAAATATACCTAAATGATGACCTTTGGTTTTCTGAAAGTCTTGATCTTCCTTACCTAAAAGTGAACCTTGCATACGTTACCCAACCTTTAACTACGAGTGGAAATTCTTCATCCCAAAATGGAACATATAGTTTCAAGTTAGTCATGTCCCAAGGTTCGACCCTACCACCAATCCTGAACGCTATTGAGATTTTCAAAGCAATTAACTTTATGCAGTCTCCTACGGATCAAGATGAGGGAAATGGAATTTGTTGTTTCCATTTGTCGCCCTATATACACACACATAACTTTATAAACCCAATCTTCTTTCTTTTTGGCATGTGTACAGCCGACGCCATTATGAGCATCAAGCTAATTTATGGAGTTGAAAGAGTAAGTTGGCAGGGAGATCCATGTGCCCCAAAAGAATTCGTTTGGTGGGGTCTTGGTTGTACCTACAATGGCTTCAAACCACCCAGGATCACAACCTTGTGAGTTTATCAACATTCTCTGTAAGACTTCATCCCGGAAAAGGAAAAGAAAAATGTACTCCTTGGATGGTAGGTTACTAATTCCAATTCTTTTCAGGAACTTGTCGTCCAGTGGATTGGCAGGAGAAATAACAGCCAACATATCAAACCATAAAAATCTAGAAATCTTGTAAGTGTTGATAAAAATAACAAAAAAAAAAACACATTCAACAATCGGTCCCACTTCTTATCTTATATCGTGGTTTTTTGAATTGTTCGTTTCAGGGATTTATCAAATAATAGGCTAAATGGACCAGTGCCAGATTTCCTAGCTCAAATGCCATTGTTGAGGGTTTTGTAAGCTTCTTGATCTTAATTGATTTGGGTTAAGAATGTTACTCTCTGATGTCTACAAATACCGTATGTTTCACTTCTCTGTACTTGCTGCTTACTGCTGCAGAAACTTGCAAGGAAACAACCTTTCAGGTCAAATTCCTGCTGCACTGATAGAAAGACAGAATAATGACTTACTTTCTTTCAGGTCAGCTTTCCTAGTTTAGTGAGGGTCTTTTGGAGAAACAACTTTTTCAGTTAGAGGATTAAAAATTATAAACCCCTGTTTAATTAATTGTTTATTAAACAATGATGTCTATTAAATTACTGGTTCAACCATTTTTTTTAGATTCAACAAAAGGTTGAATTTGTTCGGGTTATTTATTCTATTAAGAAAAAAGATGTGACAAACTTTCATAAAATTTATATCAATAATTTAAAACTGGAAAAACATATTAAAAGTATAGTTTAGAGTAAAAATAAGGTATTTCAAGTTGGAATTAAAAAAAAATTATTGAAATTGAACAACTAAGACTAAACTAATCCAAATAGAAAATTAGTATAATACGTGAAGCAACATTTTAAATATTAAAAAAAATGGTTACCTTGGACTCTCTTCTTGTAGCTTTATTGAATTTACTTTATATTGATTGTTCAATTAGTAAAAATTTGAAAAAATTTACTTTCAAATTATTGGAATTCTAGGTGGTGCTATGAGTAATTCTTTTGTAACTACTCTCTCTCTATGGTCTTTCAAGATTGGAAGGCCTTTTTTCATTAGTCACTTGGGGTTCCTCTACTCTGGCCGAAGGCACAATTTTTTAAAGACGACTTAAATTTCTATTTATAAATCACATGTAATTAATGAATCAGGTATCAGATGATTAGTAGGAGAAAATAATCTGCCTAATTTCTAACCAAAGTGTTTAGTATTATTTCCACGAAAATGTAAATTCTACATACTTGGTGATGTCATTTATGATAAATGTTACTTCAACAAGCTGGGGGCAAAATCCAAATCTACATTCACCACCAAGCGAAAGGAAGAAGAAAAATATTGCAATTCCAATAGTAGCAGCTGCGGGTGGTGTTGCTATTATCCTCTCGATAGGAATATTTACGATTCTTATCTTTAATAGGCGAAAGAGAAGTATAAAGCAAGGTAATTTATTTCCATTAAGTTGAGATTGTTTCATCAAGGTCAATATCTTCCTAATTTGACCCAAAAAAAAGCTTCTTTTTTTGTTTTTCTAATCCTGTGATTTACCAAATTTGGTTTTTTTCAATGGTTTTTTTTTTTTAATGGTTTTTTGAAAACTGACTCAACTATCTATCAGTTGAAGAATAGCTCTCTCCTCTTTCATACAGGGAGGAAAAAAAAACCTCTAGAAAGATTGGTGCTACAAATTATAAATTATGTGATAATATTTATTGCATACTTGTATACAATTTGTTTATTTATCATATTTGATTCCTTAAATTTTTTAATATAATACAAAATAATTGAGAGGTTGAATTAACAAAAGATAAATCAAATGATATATCCTAAATTATTAGGATAACTATAATTTAGAAGCATAAGTTAATATCCCTTCTAACAAAACAAGAAGAAGCCCTAGGAATAATGTCACTTATACGTTCAAATTGAATTTATGATTAATAGGATCTCAAAGTTCTGAAATATTGGAGCTAAGGAGACAACAATATTCATATTCAGATATCCTGACTATGACTAACAATTTTGAAAGACTTCTCGGTGAAGGGGGATTTGGAAAAGTTTTCTACGGCATCATAAATAATACCGAAGTAGCTGTAAAGATGTTATCTCCAACATCAGTTCAAGGATATCAACAATTTCAAGCAGAGGCCTGTAACCTTTTAACACTAATTTCAATAGATTTCTTGCAGCCCAATGCTTTGTTTCTACCAATCTTATATTACACACTCCACCTAATTACAGGTTGACCTTCTTCTAAGAGTTCATCACAAAAACTTGATCGGACTTGTTGGCTACTGTAAAGATGGCACAAATCTTGGACTTATCTATGAATACATGGGCAAAGGAGATCTAGGATCTCTTCATTTAGGTTTGACTTTACTTTTTTTTTTTTTTACAGCTTCCCAAGCCAATGCCTTGAATTTAGACTATAAAGATGTCTATTTTTTGTTGAAGTACAAAATAACATAAAAAGAAAAAATGTTTTCACCTACTTTTCTATGCAATATATTATTATTTACATTTCATAGTGGTCACCTATCTAAGATATTAAAATTTTACAAATTTTTTTACAGCCAAGTATTTGATAGAAATGTTATTAAGATAGAATCAGAAACATTATTAGGATATTAAAGGATATATTAGTCATTAGTTAGGGAAGTGGTTAACGAGATTTGTTATAAATAGAGTGAGCGGGAAATGATTGAGGTAGGCAATTGTTTAGTATGATTTAGGCTTGAGTGATCTCAAGAGAGCAGGATCTAAGTACCTCAAATGACTTGAGGATTACTATAATCTTTATATCATTCCATCTTTCATTTATGAATAAAAGAAAATAAGGATTTTCCAGTTGAACAAACTTAAGACTATATCTTATTTTTAAGTTAAATAACGGGATTCGAACCTCCAACCAAAAAAGTCGTAGATATATACCTTATCCAATTGAGCTATGTTAAGTTCTTAGTACCATATTTATTGATTCTATTTTCTAACAAAAAAAATTATCAATCAATGTATTAAATATATATATATTATACTTTATTTTAAAATTAATCCAATTTATTGGCAACATTTGTGAATTAGAACCTTTTGTTTTGTTATGATAGATAGATATGTTTTTTAGGAAAATTTTTAATCCAATAGAAACGAACTGGTCTAACTTATTGGAGCATAGCAAAGTTTTTTTTTCTTCTTATAAGAAACAAAGAAAACTTGTATTAATCACATAAAAGAACAAACTCAGGGCAGGGGATGAGAAGGCCACCCCAAAAGTTAGACTAACACAGCTTTTCAATCTTGTCGGAGTATAGCATAGCAAAGTTTTTCCTTTCTCGCAAGTTTCACTAATGTTATTTCTGATGATATCATGTTTAGATGGAGGACATGTTTTAAGTTGGAAAGAAAGACTTCACATAGCATTGGATGCAGCACAGGGTAAGCTAAGTGAACAATTGAATGAGTAGGCTTATTCTCCTACTTTACTTTGTCCATTTCAACTCATTCAATATTTGTAGGATTGGAGTATCTCCACAATGGTTGTAGGCCACCAATGGTACACAGGGATATTAAAACAGCGAACATTTTGTTGAACAACAACTTTCAAGGAA